TTTAAAAACTTAAAAATATAGTACTTTAATTCAAACATGAATTCATTTTGTTATAAAAAACCAAATAATAAATAACATTTATTATTTTGACCATATTTTTTAAAATGTTATTATGTTTGTCAGTCTGTTTGGCTTTTTCGTGTTTTTTATGTAATTAATAATATTATATCGACAAATATTATAATGTTAAAAATAACAACTTTTGTTGGAGAAAAAAATGATCAAATCGTTTTTATTTTTTTTAAATAATCGTGCTAATATTCCCTATTGAATACGTTTACATTTCATTGTTTTTATATTATTTTAAATAATCACCATGCATCATGCAAAAATGTATTTGAAAAATTCATGTTAAATAAAAACATTTGGTTTATTTTTTAACCCATCTAATAAAAATAATATAATATGTAGTTATTTTCTATTTAGATTTAACAAACTATATAAATAATTAATAATTTAATGATATAGTTATTCGATAAAAACATTATTGTTTCAAAAGGCACATTTGATAATAAAGTTTGGAAAGTGAACAAACGTTATATCATATTTGTTATTTGATTTAAATCATATAAGACGTTATATGATCGACAAAACGATGTTGCAACAATTATTAATAATAAATGTTAAAAGAAGATTTCAATTCTATCAACTCAATAAACAAAGTGTGGATGTTTTATGTTTCAAAAGTTGAATATTTGATTTTGATTGATCTTCATTGGTATTTGATTTATTAAACTCAATAACAGATTACTACCTGAAGCCATTTTGGTTGAACAATTTATAAAAAGATAAACCATTGCTTTATTTACATTTATTACACTGAAAGAGTTATCACACCATATTTTGCTGCTCTATCATTTGGTCGAATTGACAAACAGAACTTTTTTGATGGCATTATAGATAATTCAATCGAGAATTATTAGTAATAATAAAGAATTGGTTTTATAAATTATAAAATTAAAAAAACTATTCATTTATTCTATTTTTTTTTTCTTTTTATTTGAAAGTAAAACCTTAAACATGAGACTCTTAAAAGAGTAAGCAGTTTGAAATAATATGAATTAACCTTAAACGTAATACTTCCCAATCGAGGAATAGTCTCTTTGTGGTGTCTGGAACATTGGTTGTTGTTGCTGTTGGTATTGTTGTTGGTATGGTTGTTGATAATATTGCTGAGCGGGTTGTTGAAGGGTTTGTTGTTGTGGTTGTGTGTAGAATTGCATAAAATCGACCTTTTTCTGTGAAGAGAAGTCATAAGTATTTCCACCTCTGTTTCCTTGTGGGGCTGGTATAGCCAAATTATCGAATATCTGAGCCGAACTAACTTGTGGTTTCACAGTATTCGCTCCAAACACCGCATTTGATTTTGGTTGTTGAGCCTTTTGGTCGTTCTGATCCATAATGTCAAAGAGGTTTTGTGGCTGAGTAGTGTTAACTGGGCTTCCAGTTGTTAGATGTTGTTTTTGAGGTGTTTGTGAGTATTTTGAAGGTGGGAGTAAATTCAGTTGTCGAGTTGGTTGATCTGTTGACCTTGTTTGAGGCGGTTGGACACTTTGTTGTTGTACT